AAGTTAACAAAAGCGCAGTTTTGTGGTGTATTATCATGACGGGGTCGAATTTTCTTATATATATATATATATATATATATATATATATATATATATATATATATTTTTTGTATATCTAACATTCTTCTTTTATGTGTTGTATCCCTTCTATGGCGTTGGTTAACATAGCTCTCTAGAATTTGCACTCTTTTGTAACTCTTAATAAATTAGGTCTTTTTGTTATCATTCCTAAAACTAGTTCCTCCGTACATGTACACAAGTTCACTAATTAGGTTTATGCATTGTTTTGCTCTCTTCCTCGTTGCTCATATGCTCCATCCTTCTGTAGAACCATGTTTCTGTTGCTTCAAGCCTCTTCTTCATCTGTGAGGAGAAGGTCCATCATTTACTGCCATATAGAAGGACCGATATTACACAAAATGTTAGTAGTTTTTCTTAGTTTCTAACGATATCTTGCTGTTTCTTAAGACTTTGCTTAGCGTTTGAAAGGCCTCTTTCGCTATCCATATGCGCCTTCGGATTTCAGTGTCGTTGTTCCTGTCCTCTGGTAAAACGCTTCCCATCCATTTAAATTGTTGTATTTGTTTGCATTTAGTAATTTTACATTGGGATGTTCCTTTTGCTAACAACGATGAAGTTTATCTTCTTGCAATTGATCTTTCGTCCTTTCTTCGCGTTTTCCTTCACTACTTTTTGTAGTTGTTGTTGTAAATTGCTTTCTCTGTCTGTTATCAACACAATGTCATATCTTATATTATTACTATCCATATTCATGCGGTTTGATCACGTTATAAGTTCTAGATTATTCTAATATCATTTGCTGACCGTATAGGTTCTAGATTATTCTAATATCCTTCCCGATTTTGCCGCCAAGGGAACATAATCTATATACTTATACAGCTTACAACTTTTTCTTTATCGTTGAAGATTATTGTGGCGAACACTGCAAAAATAAACATAACTATACGAACAGTTGGTCTGAGATATTAAATTGGTAAACACTGACCTACCGCAGCCGCTTATCGATAATAAGTTTAGTTTTGTTTTTTAAATAAAATAAAAATGTTTGTTCTTTTTATTTTTTCTGTCATTATTCAGATACCTTCACATTTATATCTTCTTAAATTTTTTTTTTGTCTTTCTAAGCAAATAACCATTCTCAGGGATCTTTGAGAAACTTTTATTAAGATAATTCTTTACAGATTGAACACATAGAAATTACAAGTTACAACAATAAATGATACTCATAAAATGTCATATTTGGTTAGCTGACTCCTTCACATTAAAACGTTCATCAGGACCAGATGTTTGGTAAAACTCTTGAACTTACTACCACCTCCTCTATTTATACTCTTTCTGAGCAAATTAACACTAATTCTACCATTCAAATTTAAATTTTTTAACATGCTAGAGTTTCATGAGATATGTCACAAGGTTTACATTCTGAAGCAGATATTTTTTTTGTATATATATAATTTTGTTATTATTGAAAATTTGAAATTATTGTATAATTTGAAATATGCACACTTATTGATTATTTATTTGTTTATTTTTCACTTCCTTGATTAATTATGGATTCAATATATATATATATATATATATATATATATATATATATATATATATATATATATATATATATAAAATATAAAACATACATCTATTGATATTAAACTGTGACTATATTTATTGCATATTACAATTTTGGTCTGATAAGTTCAAAAGATTGATCAAACAACCGGCCTTGGACAAGAAAGAATAGATGCAGTCTATCGGTATTCTAATAATAAACTATTCTATAAATAAGCCTTGACCATTTTGTAATGATTTATTCTTTCATTTTGCCTAATTTGGAGCAGTACATATTTGCATGAAGCTTTGCTTGTACGGGAAAAAGAAATCTTAGAAACCGACTGCTTAACTTATGCCATATACTCAACATCCAAATTTGGCAATTCGTGTTTATTATTAGTTCATTTGACATAGCCAACCATTTATTTGTTGTAAGACCTCCGCTTTTAATTGAACATCAAAGTTTGATGTAATACTATAGCATTTAAATAAGAACTAATAGATTTTCAGATTAATTTATGTGGAATTAGCACGTCAAACGGACTAATCTAAGCATAATCATGCATGTACTTGATAAAACCGTTACTGCTTGATTTCATATATTCTGAGTACGTCGGTTATATAACGGGTGGTATGCGAAAAATATTGATTTTCAAGTAATGTATTGATTTGATCGGTATCAATTACTTCTAGTTGACTCGACGGTGAGGCAAACCACATTTGCCACTTATCACTATTCAAATTCCCTTCTTGATAAATTGCATTTTTGTTTGCTTTTTAATTTGCATTTTTCTTTCAATAAAAAAACAAAAAAAAACAGTGCCGTAAAGGCTACACGCATTCTTCAATTGTTAGCAGTTCTTGCCATAATTCGCATCTAATTTTTTACAAGTTCTCTTCATCAGAAGCATTATGATAAGATTAGCTATGTGGCTCATTAAGTTGATTATCCAATAGAATTCAAATTCATTTGCATCTGGCTTCTTGGGCCTCGTTACGAATCTAGATCTACTGCGATGTTGCAGTATCTCGCCACTGGCATTTATTCCGTTTTTTTATCTCAGTAATTTTATCGATCTCGAAATCGTCTGATGCTGATAGCATTACAATCCAATGCTTCATTTTCGCTTCTTTTCATCTTGCCCAGTACCGTCTTACTTCAGATTTTAATACTAAATGCCCTTCCGTATTTTTATACGTTACCTCCTTCCATTGTCATAGAAGCGCTCTCCGATGTATTACTTCCATCTTTGTAATATTTTCCTTTTTCTATTATGAGTGTTCCTTCATTGTGAATCCTGTTGAGGAGCATGCATTCTCTACTGATGTTTCTTTTATCCTTTTACGCATGCGTGCTATGTTACGTAGTGTTTCTCTCTCGACACACATCTCGTTCAGCAATTCGTCTTTCACTTGCTTACATATCTTTCTAATGTCTCTGCGTAAGAACGTATTTTCCTTTCCATTCCTTGGCATAATCTGAAGTCTATATTTCATTAGCATTACTCCGTCATCGAGATTTATTTTTCCTTTTTTCATTTCTATTTTGCCGATGTCATTAGTGCTTCCCCAAAGGTATTCCACTTTGAATTACTTAGCTTTTCTTAGCTTTCATATAATTTTTTTTTAACTTTTCAACAAACGTCATTTTGAAAATTGAGTCGTTTTGGAGTCTGTTGTAATTTTCGTAATTTTATTCTAGTTTGACTATGACTTGAAGGTCGTTTCCTGAGCCGAATAAGACGGCTATTAAGTGGCATGACAAGAAATATTACATACTTTTACGCATAGGGCAGTACATGGCTGAATGTGAAGAAGTGAATCAGTAGATTATATTAGAACAACCATTCAAATGAAGATTTTGGATTTACCTGTCTTCATAATGGGAACGTGCAAGGCACACACATATTCTCTCTCTCTCTCTCTCTCTCTCTCTCTCTCTCTCACGCACACACATATTCTCTCTCTCTCTCACACTAACACACACACACACATATGTGTGTGTGTGCGTGAGTGCGTGTGTGTGTGTAGTTCTTAAAGTAATAGAAGACAAGGAAGATTTAAATACTTTTCTATTTAGATTTTCCAGAAACCTTACGTTTTTTGTTTTGTAGAAGTAAGCAAGTATAGTAATTTTATATATTTTTAATTTTGCAAGGCGCTTTCAACCACTTTAGTAATTTTCAAAACGAAACAAAAAATTAAATAAAACTTAAACAGTCAAAACATGAGTAAAACCTAACAACACCAAAAACAATATATATATATATATATATATATATATATATATATATATCATATATATATATATATATATATATGATTTTGAGGACCTAATATTGAAGCTAAATTAATGGGGTCAAATCATACCCGAAATATAAAATTACCATTTATATATTACTTACACTAGCTACGCTATTTAACAAACTATATATCAATGTATTGTAGACAAATTAGCTTCGAAATTAGGTTTTCAAATATGATACGCGAATATATACGTGTGTAATACATCGTGTGAGAAAACATATTTTTTTAAAATAAAAACACCATTTTGAGCATTGAGATAGACAAATATATTATGAACAAATTTGGATATGAAGACATCACCCAAATTCACCCTGGTAGCCATCTTCCAAAATGGCCGCCAGCAAACACTCAAAAGGCACACAGAATTTAGATAAAGTTTGCTGCTTTAGGTTTTAGAGAATGTGTATTGAATGTTTTGAACCAGGACATGCCATATACCTTTTAGCTACATTTTGGGAGATGATGTTGATGTTAATTAACATATTTAGGCTAACTGTAAATGTAACGGCGACAAGGAAACCTATGATCAGGCATCAAGTTGACATTTCTTGTGAATAACCTAGATTCATTTAATTTGCGAAAATTTTATCTGGCCGTCTTCCTCTGTTTGTCAGTAGCTATTCATGGACATTGCCCACGCCAATTATGATGCTAATTAACAAAATTATTAAGATAATTATGCGAATTGCATCAATAATACAACAACAATAAGAAAACGAAATAGTGATTGTTATGGTGGCTTGTTCCCATCAGATCAATCTTGGGCAAGTTTAAACGTTATATGGTAAAGGGACACCACTACACTTAATGACCATGTTAATTAACATATAATCTATTCAATACAATATACAGACAAGTTCACTTTTTACAGTAACTGTGTACTGTCTGGAAAAATTCAGAATCTTCATCTTATGAAGACTACGTGTTCAGTTCTGAGAGCACTCCCCGTCACAAGCACACAGTGATGTGCAATCCAAACTGGCCTTTTTACACTTGCACTTCTTGATGGAGCCTAGCAACGGCTTTTGAACTGTTGATGTTGTCCACCTGGAATGTGCTGCCCAAAACTCTAGACACCACATCATCGTAGATGCAAATTTGTTCAACGGGTTTCCTGCAGGATGCCAAGCGGACCCCGTGTCACCCATGCAGCATGCCTTGGTCACTATGATCTTGGAAGGTCCAAGTATCAAGCACCAAGGTGAAAGCACAACACAAGTGACACTGAGCATCGCCCAGATCTTCAAGATAAACAGCATTATGCACCGACGGGCCGCCACAGGCATTACGCCTTGCTCACTCAGGCAAGCCACCATGCACGAGATGCCGATTAAAACATACATCGGCCTAATCCTACATGCGCAGACGCGCAAGTGGGAGATTGTCGACAGTCTGGTACACATGGGGATATCTATTTCCTATAATCGGGTGATGACAGTCTTCACGACTGCTACGGAAGACAATATCGACCACAACCCAAGTTCCACCACAGCAAAACAGTTATTCAGTGCGACTGTTATTTCCCTCATGCAACACCCAGCGTTCCTTGGAGCCGGCATTGGCCGCAGCATAATCATTCGAGGACCGGACGAAAGACGCCTCAAAACATTTGACCGTTTGCCTCACAACTATACAGATATGCCATCCGTTATCGGCAGTATCAAATATACGAACGTGCTGGATACCAGCGTGACAACCGTGAGCAGTAATAGCGGCTTCAAGCAACATGCTGAAAGAGAGCATCTCTGGAGGACACTTCATGAGCTGCATACTACGCAAACCAGCAGGACATGAAAGCCAGTCCTACCAGACTGCTCCCATTCTTTCTAGCGAACGCACACACAGTGGCTATGATCAAGCACGCCATGGATATGGTAAGGATTGCATTGGAGCATCTCAGTCTGGCCAGACATTATTGGTTTATTTTGGCAAAATAAATCCAGTGGATGTGGCCAAAAGAGTATGGTGAAGAGAAGTTTGTCGTCCTCTTAGGCGGTGTTCATATTGAGATGGCAACACCGAAGACTCTTGGTGACTGGCTGCAAAGAAGCGGATGGGTACAAGCTGTAGTTCAAGCAGAGATAACCCATAACCGTGATAGGAGATTCCTTCCTGCCGGGATCTCATGTCAATCAAACCAAGAGGGTTCATCAAGTGACAACTGCAACCATCTTTACCCTGCAGCAGACCGCCTAAATCACTAAAATAACCAGTTGGGAGACGCGTGCAACGATTGGTACCGGCAAAAAGCGGAGGCCTTTCTCCATTTTGATTCCTGGGTATCTGACCTGCAATTGATGTAACGGTCCTGGCTCTTGAGAGAAAGGGTGTTGTTCCATGTCCTGTACCAAACCAACTGCGGGCACTGGATTCCTGTGTATCTGTGGGACATAGTGTAACTGTCGACGACATATCCTAAAATAGCCCAGTATTCCTAGCTGAGAACTTCACCGTCAAGAAGACGAAGAAAGCATTCTCTGCCATCCCCGTCGCTCAGGCCCACGGACAGAAAATTGTTGCCATGAAAGGAAATGGGGGTGCAGTGTGATAACCACAGCGCTATACGTCTGTGAAAAGTGGCAGGACCCGAGATTTTCGGGCTCATCGATCAGTTTCACTATGAAACTGACCCGTGGTAACAGAACACAAGACATAAGGTACCGTGCTCTGTCACCAATAGTGCAGACTGCTCTCCTGAAAGATATATAATTGATAGTCAACGCGATGGAACACTCCGGGAATGCATTTGAAAGGGTGAGTGAAGATCTACTGGTACCAAGGAGATCACGTCATCTGGAGCTGTAGACGCCATCCGTCATGCACACTAGGTGGGTTAGTTGCAGTTTGACAACTTCGTCAGAGAACGCCAGAGGGCATTTGGGGTGATGGTACCATGTCTAGATTTGTACATAATATATTGGTCTACCTCCATGGCGCTTTTATCAATAGGTTTCTATATCACAGGTAAACTGCGGCAATATAGAAAAAATAATGGCAGCGTGGAAAGATTTTTGTCTGGCTCGCTTCGTCATTTTAGACTTCATCGATCAAAAGTGATGTTTACGTTTATGTAAATGCACATGTACACGGAGGAGCAAGAACGTTGAAAATTTACTCTTAATTTGTTTTTTTTTTATATGAGTTGGGTTATATAGTCTAGTCAATTTTATTTAGTTTTTTTTCTTTTTTTGTGACACTGGGAGTATGAAACTAGGATTAAAAGAGTTCATATGAAACCCCACGTATTGGAATCGGAGAATTGGAAGTCTTAAAAATATTAAAAACGTTAAGGTGAAAACATGAATTGAAATATGAAGTGAGAAAAAAAGAGAGATTTTTTCTGAATACCAGGAACGCATTATGGAAAATAGACAACAAAGGAATTCTTTGACGTCAATGACATAGAAGTAATTTATAAACACAAAGTTTGTTATCGAGAAAATTATTATTTTGAATAAGTAACCGATTGCGGGCCGATTGTCATCAGGATATAGAAATGAATGATAAACAAAATATGTTGTCAAAGAATGTATTGTTTTGAATAACTGACCGCTTTGTTTAACGATCCATGCCGTTTCTCCAAAAATTGAAGAAAATACTTAATTGATATGAAACTAATGAGTATTGAGATGCCGGGGAAGTCGGTCGAAATACATATACATTGGGCGTTTAAGCGACTCAGAGACAACAACAGACACAGCGGACGAAGGAGCTGCTGGACTCCATGTGTCTTGCTGCTGAGAGAATTCCCGACCGATCTCTTTCTTTGTTGATTGAACTGCCTCCAAGTTTTAGAAGAAAAAGGCAAAGTGTCATGATAGAGAGTTTAACAGGAAGGGTTAATTTTCTTGTATCAAAAACTATGTAAACCAAATGAAAATTAACCCGGCGACCTCCATCGTTATTTTGCTGTTATTTTTTATTTTCCCCAGCGGAAACGTTTTTGTCCTTTTGTAGCACGATTCCTCCGCCGTTTGACCCAGCGCTTAAGCACAGACGACATTCAATCTTCACTGGTCTGTATTCAAGGAATACAACGTTGGACAGAAACAAATGATGAACGAAGCGGAAAGCAGATACCTATCAGTTTACTGGCGGCAGTAGAGATTACAAGCAAGAACTGAGCCGGGCCGGCCGTGTTATATTCAGTGATGTTTTTTTATCAATGTGGTTATTAAGTATTCCACATTGTGAGAGTAGAAGATCTGTCAAAAATGGGAAATGTCGTAAGCACCTGGGAGCTATGTTAAGATGGATGATTAAAGCACTCTCTATAGACTTTCGTCTTAGTAAATTGCTTTCTCTTTTAATTAAAGTAGATTTTTTAATCGAAATCGAAATAAAGGCCACGCACATTACAATGAGGCGTTAGTACACTGGGTGTGTTGTTTTGTAAAGAAGTACATTTTGAGGTCTCTACTATGTTCCTTGTGGCAATTATTCCAGGTAGTATTCTGGTATATAAAGCTGTATATATAATTTTGTCTTATATGTACACATATAAAAGATAAAGAACAAAGCTTATTAGAGATATGAAGAAAAAAGAAATTCTGTTATTTTTAGTTTTGTGTTGTCTGATTTTCATTGCTCAATAATATATCACGTGCATTCGACTCTTTAAAACCAACGTTAGTATAATTTGTGGCGTGACGAATTCAAGGAGAAATAACGCGTTCATTCGACTTTCAAGAAATTAACTTTAAGTCTACCTGAAAAACAAAACACAAATATTGCTATATGTATGTAATTTTATAAAAAATTCTAGTTTGTCTCTGTGGGCGTGAGATGATAATGTTAATTCGTAATTATATATATATATATATATATATATATATATATGTGTGTGTGTGTGTGTGTGTGTGTGTGTGTGTGTGTGTGTGTATAATAGACATCATGTTTATTGGTTTTTGGTACGTTGACTTAGGAATGTTTTTACGTATATACAGTTTGTTTTAGATAAACATGCGTAAGATTTGTATTCAATAAAGGCTGGCGATGTAATATAAATGAAAATCAAACAACACAACATTTTAAAAGAACGGAATGTCTTTCTTTTTTCTGATGAAGCTTTAATAAAAGTGAAACAGGTTAGATTAAAAAAAAGTTTCCTATTTGTTCTTTATCTTATTAATCTGTTAGATTCCGATCTATATTTTATACTAACTCACACACACACACACACACACACACACACACACACACATATATATATATATATATATATATATATATATATATATAAACAAAAACAAAGGCATCTAGGAAGACGAGCTACGATTCCAAAGGAAAAAATAAATACCCTTTTTCAAAAACCAACCATTAGGTCAAGTGTCTTAGAAAGCAATATCATTTCCATTTACTAATTTATGTTATTTTGGAATAATAGCAGAGGTGTCAGTGAATACTATATTCTTGGCACCAGCAAATATTTGCTACATAGCTGTGATTCTGCATAGTCTTTTCCTGCGTTTAACCTTTGTGAAATATATTAAAATAGCCCAGAACCTTTACAACAAACAAGTCAACTGTATAAAAATTAAAAATGAATTGAACAATCATACAAAAATAGAAATAGGCGTAAGACAAGGATGTGTGCCTTCTCATTGGATGTGTTGCCATACACATTACTAAAATATAAAAATAGAAATCCTACCAGTATTTATTATTGTTGGCCACAACTTTAGCCACATAGATGGCACCGAGCTGATGAGAAAAGAAAATGGCAGAAACTCTTAGGCATGGTAGTATAGCGTGAAGAAATGAATAACGACCAAATATAATGAGATAAACTGTGTGACAGCGGCTGATACAGGGTCTTATCCTGGTCACGGCACCAATTGTGACGTTCTAACCTTTTGGTGATTCGGATTGGAATCTGGTTACATTCGGTATCAGCCTTGTCGTTCCCAGCTCGCCTCCAACGTCTGGTTACCGAAGTAACTGTTTTGATTTCTAGTCTAACCTACCCACGTTGTGATTTGATCTTAGGTAGACGAAATCAATCAGTCGCCGAGACGTAACGCAAGTCGTGTCCGAACAAGGGTGATATCGCACAAGTATGTTTAAAAGAAAATAAAATAATAATGAAGAGTTCAAATGTGTTAAAAAAGGATAACAATATTTTATATCTGGTTTCTGAATACATGACTGGGTCTTTCTACCAACCCGCTAATATGGATTCGTGACACTTTGTGTTTGTTAGGCGAGACTTAACATCTTAATTTGTTCTTTTAAGAAACTGGTTTTGGTGTATCTTCAGGCGATATTCGTAAAACTTGTTTTGGTGGTGTGAGTCTAAGTCGTTCTTCAAAAATAAATTGTTCTTGGTTAGAAGTTGAGTTCGGAATTGCGTGGATATCTTTCAGTCAGCTTCCTGCGAGGCTATTAACTCCGTAACTGTCTCTGCCAATTGCCAACTCCAACTGCAAACTCAACTGGAACTGCTTTTCACTCGCTGCGACTCTGCTCATATGGACGCCGACCAAAACCGGGGTGGGCTTGTCGGGGTTTGAGGTTCCTTGATAATTCTAAATCCACAATCCACTTCTTTGTTCTTGGTCAGGAAAATTTATTATTTTCCATTTTTGGAGGTCTTTCGTCCTCCCACATTCTTCTGTTCTCATATTGGTATCTCACCATCAACGGATTTCCCCTCTCTCTCACAATGGCATCTCACACCTATCCCTTCAGGGGGCGTCAACGGGCCTCCCATCCTTCTTCATAGTTAACCTTCGCCTAAAGCTCACGCCACCATTCAGCCAATGGGTGCTCAGCGGCGTGGGTGTGGCTAGACTAGCCTCGGTTTAAAAATCTTGCTCAAAGAAAAAAAAATTATCTCCTTTCTTTTTTTCTTTTTCTTTCTTTCGTAGTGTGGTCCCTTAATCGCAATTCTTATCCTAAATGTCACCTGGAATTCATCACCCGAGACCTTCGCCAAATAAGTGGGTGGTCATCCGATGAGATCGCATTCTGGCGTTAATTATTTCTGATAAAATAATTTTCTTATCATAGCCAGCTCCTGGCACAAAACAGATGCCTTTTCCAAACGACATCTTAGTAGATAGCCAAT